TTGGCCTCATCAATTATGTGTAGAAAAACGTATTCGACTTAAAAGAACATCGTAATTTTTTGATAAATTTTAAGTACAAAGTGCGTATTATACGACGAAAAATACGGTACGCTGAGTCGGATTGACAAGGAAAAATGAATGGCAATAGAAGCCAAGATCGAGCTTTAAACCGTCATAGAACGTACAATAGGCTGAAGGAATAATAATATAACAATTATTTTCACCGTATTTACGATTTATATCGTCAAATATTGTGTTACGTACGTAAAGACAATTGAACAACTTACGGAAATAAGGACGAGAAAACATCGTGCAATACAAAAAGCTTACTATGTTCTGCAGTGTTGCCAGAGCATTCATTTTAGTAAAAGTCTTTTTTTATTTTTTAAGTTATCATTAGAATAATAAACGTTTTAAATTTTAAAATAAATAATAATTAAATTACGTCATTATTATTATTATTATTCGAACATTTATCTAATATATAATCGAGACAGGTTGATAATAATAATAATAATAATAATCAGCGCAGAGCCCAAACGGTTAGGAGTTGAAAGTTGAAATTTGGTACACAAATAGGGTACGTCATGAAAATGCACACTAAGAAGGGATTTTTCGAAATTCCCCCCCGGGGGAGAGAGAGAGACAGAATTAAAACTTCTATATACATTATGGATACGAGCCCAAACGGTTAGAAGTTGAAAGTTGAAATTTGGTACACAGTTAGGGTACGTTAAGAAGGAATTTTTCGAAATTCTTCCCCACGGGGGAGAGGGACAGGATTAAGGCTTAACACTTCCATCAACAATAGAAGTGTTAAGTAACAATGAAAGTGTTAATAATGGAAGTGCCAACAATGGAAGTGTCAACAATGGACGTGTTACGTAACAATGGAATTGTTAAGAGAAAGCGACGTTTTAAGAGAAAGTGCAGTTGGTTTTCGTTTTTCCAGGAAATTGAAGATATTTCTAGACCCATGTAAAAATTCTCTAATTAGTCTGGAAACGGGGGATCCAATTTTTGCATTCTGTGAAAACGGGTAAAGTTGACTATAACGTAATAATCTTAATCTTCGCTATCGTTACTTTTGCCCGAGCAACGCCGGGCCCACCTGCTAGTTTTTAATAATTTTATAAAAATTTATCTTAAAAATTTTTTTCCATTTTAATTTATACTAGCTGCAAGGACCCGCTTCGCTGGGCAAAAAGTAACGATAGTGAAGATTAAGATAATTACATTATAGCCAATCTTACCCGTTTTCACAGAATGCAAGAATTAGGTCCCCCGTTTCCAGACTAATTAGAGTATTTTTACGTCCAGTTAAACAAACTATTTTCAATTTGATCAATTTTCTGGAACGTTTACAATCGTTCTATAATCGAACCAATTCGAATTCAAATTCGAAAATTTTTAAAATCGAAATAGAAAATCTTCCACTTTCAACTCCATATCTCCCGCACCCTTATAGCTATCGAGACGCAACCACCATAGTGCACGAATGGAGACTTGGGACTACTACCACATACAAACACCATTCATGTGCGATGTGTAGTTTTGGCTGAAAAGTGAAATATAGG